TATCCTAGGTTTTGAATTACTTGGAATTTTTTACTCATTTAAAACACAATCAAATTTAATATGCTCACTAATTCTTTTATATATTTTACTATGTACACATCGGAATAAGCATGTTGTTTGAATTTTTACATAAATATTGTGTTACACTGAATGACAATGTAACATTATTTCAACCAAATTGTAACATTTTATCCTCCAAAAACTTATTTGAAACCTTAAAAGTAGACACTTTACTTACATTCAATGTGCTTTCTATGGACATAAAATCACTTTTGTAAATTTCTTTTGATGCGGACATCTTAATGTCTTTGACCCGCAAGAGTTTTTGTTGCATTTACTCAAGCGCTTCGAAACAGTGAGTCATTTTGCGACGCAATTGATTCAAATGATTCAAAGCTTCGAAAAGGTTCCGTTCTCACATCACTGCCTAGAGTACAGCGTCCAAATCCGTGTTATCACACAACGAGGCACAAATGATATTATTTTACAGTATTCTGTATGTCGATTAGCATTGCATTATAAATATGCACAATCCTTATGAAAAATACCCGAGATGGTACACAGATTATGTCGCAATAGTGTGTTCATTCTCTCTAAATACTGCTACTTTTACACAGTGTCAATTGAATCTATCACTATTTTCACTTAGTGTAAACAGTATATCGCTCAGAAAATACTTCTGTTGTCACTTAATGTAAATAGCTTCTAAAATGTACTACTTTTGAGCAATTTACCATGCCAGTGTTGACTCTTGAACTTTGCACATATTAATACTGTTGAATTCAATTCACAACGCTGTGCTTTAAAGCTCAAATTTGGGCTTCGTACTAGAGTTTATGGACTAATTTTAAACAGCTTTTACTGCATCAGGCTTTTCAAATGACTGTTTAAAATCGCATAGCCATATTAATGACTTGGCTGATGGTTTTTCAAATAATGGTACAGTAAAATTTGGATTTTGTTAGACCATTACCTCCCATAAAGTCCTTCGCTTTTACGCATCCTCTGTAGTGGCCAAGAAAGGGAGTGGGAGTTTAGCACAGTGTACTTTTCATTTTATGGTTCATGGTTATTGTGATATATTGCGACGCCCCTAATTAACACAATAATACTTCATTTTTAATATCACAACACCCCCTAATTAATGCCGTTATTGAACTGAATTGATCGGAATAATGACTCTCCTGAAATTGAATTTGTTTCTTGATGAATTTTGTAGCATTCACACTGTAATTTTCCTGTTTATTACTGCTAAGCTGCTTAGAAACGATCTGTATTGTATAAAGCGCTGTGAATGTACAGGTTCACCTCTCCAGGAACAGGTTGTTCTCCGCCAGCTCCTTCACGACTCCTTCCATCTCCTCCTTCAGCTTCTTCATCCTGTTAGGCAGAATGATGTGTTTATGATGGTGTATTTTCATTTTTTACTGCATAACTTAACCCATTCTGCACCTGTTTTCAGTAGATCACACACACACCTGATTATCATAGGCTCTGCTTATTTACGACCCTATGCTAATTTCTAAAATGAAATAACTAGGGCTGTCAAGCGATTAAAATAATTACATGATGGTTAATTAATCTACTTAATTGTGAATTAATCACACATCAATTTTGACAGAAATAACCCCGCAACAAATCATTTAAAGTCATTATAGTGTTAAACGAGAAAAGCATTGAATAGATATTACACAAAAAGTAGCTTTAGAAAGAAATACTCAGATCGAACACATTGCATAAATAATGATAATAATAAAAATGGGTATTGTTTAAAAAAAAAGAATGTTGAAATAGCAAATGAATAAAAAAAAAAACAATGAAAGTATACTCTAAATATGAAAATAAAAGCACCAGTAGTGGCAGCAAGCGAGTCATTGAGTCATTCATTCAAACGATTCGTTCAAACGGCTGATTCGTTCAGAAACGAAGCAAGTCTTTAAGAATGAGTCACTGAATCACTCCGCGGATTCATACAGCAACAAAACACCACTTTTGTGAGCACAACAGTCGGCTCCGGAAGTAAAAAGCCATTAATTTTCTCCACAGGGAAATTTATTTTAACTTATAAACCAATAAAATACAGCTCTAGTGTGAGCTCCGAGGATGTTAATCAACGGTTTATGCTTTTGTTGAAGCCATCCCTTCGAACGTATGTTTCAAATAATCGTGTTTAACAGCGGGATCCTTGGTAAAAACTACACTACCCATCATGCTTTACAGAAAATTCCACCAATCAGAGAGTCGCAGCGAAAAAAATCCCGCCAAACGAGCGCTGAGCGTAATCGAGTCGGTCTCCCAAGCTCTCAAAATATTTGAATATATATGCATATTTGGTAAGGTTCATTAGTTAACATTAGTTTACATGAATACTTCTACAGCTTTTATTAATCTTAGTTAATGTTAATTCCAACATTTACTAATGCTGCATTATTAAAATAAAAAGTTGTGCTTGTTAACATTAGTTAATGCACTGTGAACTAACACGAACTAACAATGAGTGACTGTATTTTCATTAACTAACATTAACAAAGATTAATAAATACTGTAATAAATGTATTGTTCATTTTTTGTTCATGTGAGTAAATACATTATTGTAAAGTGTTACCGCACTTTTGCAATAAACTTTAACTATATATTGTTTCTATATACACAATTAACAGCTTTAAATGGATAGTTTTCTATTTCTCCATCGTATTTAATTTGATTATATCATTCGCAATGCTTCATGGGATTGTAGTTCTTTTCTTAATTAAAGCTATTTAATTAAGAAAATTTATTTTGTCTTTTTGTCCTTTGTCTTTTTGTCCGATTTTCAAATACTTTTTTTGCTTAAAATAAAAGTTTGTAATGTTGTGATTCTCGGCTTTCGGAAAAATGAATGGAAAAAAATCGTCCGGAGCCAACGGCGCTGAAAAAGGGGGGCAGCACTAATGCACTCTATTGTGTCTAAAATGTAACACAATATTAATTTTTGTTTGCTGAACTGTTGTGTCAAATCAATATCACATGTGCAATGGTGCAAATACTGGGGAAAAATGGCACTCTTGCTGATGTGATATTGCTAAACTATATAATTTGATATAAATATAAGAAGGGCATTTTTTGCCCTCATTTCAGTCAGTCGTCGTCCTGCATCGTGTTCATCAGCAACTGCTTCACTGACGGAGAGGCTGCATTAAATGCATTAATCATATTTTTTTTCCACAATTAATCACACCAAATTAAAGCGTTAAATTGACATCCGGACTTGTGTTCATCTCTCACCCCAGTGTCATCTCCACCAGTGTGTTGGGACTGAGGTACGCCTGCGGTTTGATTCCTCCAGACGTCATGGGCACAATCTTCTGCGGTAACAGCTCCAGCAGCTGCACACATGAGAGCCGTTAGCGTCTGTGTGCCATTACAGCGCGGCTAAACGCACAGCACTTCCTGTTTACTCACTTTATACACACGCTGCACCAGCAGGGTCACTTCCTGTTCCATGCTGCTGAACTGACCGGTCAGAGACAGGAGGTGCTTCCGCACGTGATGGAACTTCCTGTAAGGAGACGTTCATTCATCAGTCACTGCATGTGTCCTTCAGATCTCCAGCGAACATCTCAGATTCAGTTTCCATGGCAACACAGCAGAAGCCGCGGTATACGAGAGGTCATGTGACAGGGATTTTACTACAGTTACTTACCCACCGTAAAATCACTGTAAAGGCCGTTCACACTAATGACAATAACTATAATGTTAAAGTTTTAATAATCGTTCTAATTCTGTAAGAGTAGTGAGTCCACACCACAACTATAATGACATAGAGGAACGTTATAGTTAACGTCCGTTTGTGTGGATGCTAATATAGTTATCGTTAAAGTTATCGTCCGTTTGTGTGGACTTTAAAAAAAGTTATTTACCAAATATAGTTATCGTTAAAGTTAACATCTGTTTGTGTGGATGCTAATATAGTTATCGTTAAAGTTATCATCCGTTTGTGTGGACTTTAACGATAATTATATTCGGTAATTAACTTTTTTAAAGTTATCGTCCGTTTGTGTGGATGCTAATATAGTTATCGTTAAAGTTATTGCCCGTTTGTGTGCACTTTAAAAAAGTTATTTACCAAATAGAGTTAACGTTAAAGTTAAAATCTGTTTGTGTGGATGCTAATATAGTTATCGTTAAAATTATCGTCCGTTTGTGTGGATGCTAATATAGTTATCGTTAAAGTTATCGTCTGTTTGTGTGGACTTTAAAAAAGTTATTTACCGAATATAGTTAACGTTAAAGTTATCGTCCGTTTGTGTGGATGCTAATATAGTTATCGTTAAAGTTATCGTCCGTTTGTGTGGACTTTAAAAAAGTTATTTACCGAATATAGTTAACGTTAAAATGATCGTCCATTTGTGTGGATGCTAATATAGTTAACGTTAAAGTTATCGTCCGTTTGTGTGGATGCTAATATAGTTATCCTTAAAATTATCGTCCATTTTTGTGGATGCTAATATAGTTATCGTTAAAGTTATCGTCCGTTTGTGTGGATGCTAATATAGTATATAATTCAGTTATATATAATAGAACTATAATAATAATTTCTAGTTGGACTGTTTGGATCACAGGTGAGCTTCACTGAGGTGCTAATGCTGAATGAGAGCCTCTTACTTCATCCACTCCTCGCTCTTGGAGATGAAGAGGCGATATTTCATGGCGCACTCATCTGTGAAGAGCGCCCGCGCTTTTGTGGCGTGAAGAACCAGCTTTTGCCTGCAGAAAGCAGAGAGATTCGTGTCATCATGACGCTGCGTCACACGCGTTCAGTTCTTCAGCTACAGCAAAACACACACGATACTCACTTGTCAAACTTGTGGATTTGTTCTTCATTATAAGGCAAACCTGAGGAGACAAGACACGTCAAACACATGAAATGCAAAGGAGCGCTGATGAGATCTCATGAGGTCTCAGACTCACGTCTCTCGGCCTTGTCCTTCTTGAACTGCTGGTAGATGCTGCTGATGGCGTCCAGCAGAACCTTGATCCTCTCCACACTAGACGAGAGCCACAGAAACGCAATCAGATACTCAAGTTCAGGCTTAAAATATGTTCACTGCAAATGTTCTTCCTCTGTATTTCTGTCAGGGTTATTATAGTTAACGAAAACTAAAACTGAAGCCATTAAAAAAAAACATTTTCATTACATGATACCAAATAAATGTTAGCTTAAATAAAATAAAATAAAAACATAGTTTCCATGGCAACGTCTCATTTTTATTTAATTTACAGAGACATGTTTAAAAACAACAAAAACTAAAAGACAAAAACGCACAACAAAATTAGCAAAACTTTAAAATGAACATAAAATCATAAAATATCAAAATAAAAACTAAATATTAATAAAAACTATAATAATATCTCAATGATACTAAAATAACACTTTTTTTTTTTTTTTTTTTTTTTTCCAGTACAAATATATAAACATTCTTAAATCAAGATACATTTACTGGAAAAGCCCTCAATGACTAAAGATATTAGGTGTTGTTTTCTGAAAAAATTCAGCTTAAAACAAGGACAAATATCTGCCAATGGGGTCAGAAATAAAAAGCTTAATTCAAAGGGAGGACAAGATAATTTTTCTGACCCCATTGGCAGATACTCGTCCTTGTTTTAAGCTTAATTTTGATATATTTTTCAGAAAACAAACCTTAATATGTCATTTTGATTTAAGGAAGTTTAGATATTTGTACTGGGAAACAAGACACATGTAATGAGGAAAAACATTGCTGCGTCCCAGTTCGCCTACTTATACTATGCCCTAAGTATGTACTCTTTTTGTGAAGAAAAAGTACATACTTTTGAGTATGTAGAAGAATAGTAGGCAAGCTTTGGGACATACTACTTCGTCATAACTGCGTCTTTAACGGACGCTCTGTTGCTTAGTTGCGTGCATTCTGTCACTGCCCTGTCAATCATCTTATCACAGTTAACATCATCCACATTTCGTTTAATTTGATTTCCTAGATTTCCTAAGAGAAATTAAGAGGTACGTTGATCTGC